GGTTGAGGGGAAACTGAGAAAGAGGGGATAATATATACTGCATTGAAACAGATGAGGGAGAGAACTGTTTAAAAGGGATATCTGATTAGGTATTATCGTCATGACAAGAGTCTAGAATGAAGGCTGCACAGCGGAGTGGACTTGGGTGTGGGTTTGTATAACAATGAAAGAATTTTTCTTTTATTTTTCAAATAGAAGAGCGAACTGGGGGCGGGTAGGGGAAAAAAGTGCAACAATGAATGAATGGAAATTTAAAGTCTCTGTAAACTTTCATTAAAATAATTTAAAAAAAAATTCTCAGCAAAAAACCTTCAAGACTCACTAACCAACGCTTACTAAGGGTGTTTTTATGGTCCATAGGAATTGTACTGCTAACGCAAAGGCAGCATCTCTCTGAAGGTTTGAATCCAATGACTGTTCAAATCCATGAACAGTTCTGTGGGAGAAAGGTGGGTAATCTACGGTGCAATTTACAGCCTCCAAAAACTGGCTAAAGGGTCAGCTATGAGTCAGTCAGCTTTGGAAATTAGTTGAGGTCGGTATCCTCTAGAAGGCTGTGCTGCACTGTTGTGGCTGTTCTAATTCACTAGCTGTTTCAAGGGAGAAAGACGAGTTGTCGTCTCCTGCTATGAGATTTACAACCTGACAAACCCAACAGAGGGTCAGCTCTGAGTCAGAACTGATTTGACAGCTATGAACAGCCTAGCTTAATAAAAACATTCTATCTTCCAGTGGAATGCAGATTAAGTTCCCTCAATTTCAGTATTGTTTCTGTATATTAATAGAAAACTCTCAAATTCATTGCCATCAAGTTGGAACTCCTTACTATAAAATCAGTCCTTCAAAGAATTTCTTTAAACCAGCCAAAAACTCTCAATACCCACAAACCCCAAAAATAGTTTCCTTCTGAATGCCAAAAGAAAATGAAAAGGTAGCATATATTATCATAAATGGTCAAGCCTGTTCCCTACTCTTGCATCTTTCCATATTAAACTATCTGGAAAACCTAAATTCCCACCAAACTGAATTTGGTTTTAAGAAATGTTTTATCAAAAAAAAAAAAAAAAAGTTTTCTCGTTTTAATTCCAAACAATTCTCTTCATACAGGTCAAACCCAAAGCAAGGACCATTTATTGAGTAGGCACGCAATAAATACTTGTGGAATGAAGGAAAGGAGGTTCCTTCCTCTCATAAACTTTAAACTGTCAGTCTCCATGTAGTATTCTTGTACAAATTAAACTGTGAAAGATTTCCCTCTCTCACTTATAGAAGCTGAATTTTCAGATACACTTCCCCCCCCAAAAAAAACATACAACAACATAGTCATAGTTATCCTTTTCATTCAGAATAGATTAGCAGGGACAACTATATTCCATACACAAATCTGGTATGAATGATCTTCCCCAATCACAAACCAGCCACATATGCTGCTATCTTTAAAATGTGTATGTCTCATATTATATAAGACCATTAGTGTAGAAATAAGTAACTATAAAATGTGTAAGAGGATCTAAGGGGGTGAGGGATGAAGGGAGCACAGAGGTGAGGATGAACAGGAGTAAAATCATAGGATTGCACAATTTGGCGGGTGAAGGGATGGAGGGGTACAGGAAATGGGAAAGATCCAGCCAGGATCTGGAAAGACAAGGTGATGGTGTGCACAGTTCAATGGTGATTAATTTTATAAAACATAATGAATGGGAATGATTGTGAAACACAATGTGAATGAAGGATAGCATAAACCACAAAATATATGAACTTTGTAAGTAGACAAATATTAAAAATTTAAAAATTATATACATATCATATAGCACTACTCTGTGCATTGCTGTACTGAAGTAACTTATGGTTGCTGTGATGTGAAACACTATGACACTGATGTGCCAAATGCAATAATGGCTACCCATGGTGAACAGTGTTCGGTGGAGCTTCCCAATTAAAACAAGCTTGGAAGCAGCAGGAGTGGCATCTACTACCAAAAAGGCTTGCCTCCAGAAACGTTATGAACAGTGCTCAGGTCTTTTGTTCATAGGGTCGCTCTGAGTCATCTACAACTCGATGGCACTTAACAACAACAACTACAACAACATATATCTAACAAAGATTTCGAGGTATTATGGTACAATACATAGAGTACCAGATTAGCAGTCAAAAAAACTTTTATTTCTAATCTCAATTTTGTCAACAACCTAATGTGTGATTTTGGAAGTCATTGTAACTCAATTTTCTTCTTCTTTTTTTTTTTTTTTAATTATTTTTGTGTGAGTATACCGTCAAATCAGATCTGACTGGTACAGGAGCAGATTGTCCCTCCTTCCCCAGCAGAGTATCTGGTGGATTCGAACCGGGTGCCTCTGGGATTGTAGTTGCAGCTCCTTGCCACTAGGCCACCAGAGCTCCCCTAATTTTCTTCTTTTGGAAAATATCTACCACGAACTTTCACAGAGATTCTGGACCATGAAAAAGGTGAAAGATTGAAAATTGTAAAAGTTTTATTCTATTGTAAAATGGTAAACACACACAAGTCATTTTTCAAAAAGCCATCATTTTTTAAAAAACTTTATTAAGCCATTCATTCTTTATACTCACTTAATAATTATACTGTTAAAGATATTCTGAAGGTTCACACAACTCACTGTACTCAGAGGCACAAACTTTCCTTAAGACTAAGATTAGTCTGAAGACCGGCTATTCCAAGTTTCTCTCCTGCGGACCCACAGGTACATGCTATATGGCCTGGTTTATCTTCTTTTTAAAAAAAAAAAAAAGCCCAAAAAAATAACCAAACCCTTCTTTTCTGCTCTTTCGCATAAAGTATAAAGGAACTCTCAAATCCTGAAATAACACACACAGCAGCCTGAAAAAAACCCCAACATGCCAACATTTTAAAAGCAAACCAACTTGCAAGAAAACTCCATCACTTTTTCAACGGGAAAATCCTTCAGAAACTTTCCATCCATGCACACGCACACGAATACTGCCGCTACACACCAGCAGATCACCTGTCTTCTAGACCAAAACATCTCTTTCGGTGTACAAATTAGCTAGTGACATTTCTTAAACTCCTAAAATTAAAGGCATTCCATGATTCCTACAAACAGTGTGTTAGCGGGCATCACGGATCTTTCCAAAAAGGTAAAACTACTCCTTATGATCATGTCCCCCCGTAGCTCTCAGCCCTTAAACAGATACAGACTAGATTATGGGGGATGCGCCAATCATGCCTACACAAAAACTAACCTGTCAGGGGCACAGCGGCTCCGCCTCCACTGGCTTACTTTCCCGCCCCCTCCTCCAAGCCAGGAGCCGGCCTGTCAGGGACACCCCTTCACTCCAGCCTGGAGGGACTTCCCGGTAAGCTCAGGATCCCCTTCTTTGCTTTCCCCTCCCCCATCTTTACCACCTCTCTCCCGGAGGTCCGGGTACGGGAGATGTCAGTGGCTCCCCAAAAGCCAAAGGCTGACTCGCTGTCAGAGTCCTTAGGCCCAAAGGCCTCCCCAGACCCTTCTACTCACCGTGTCAGGGGCCGGGGACGGGAGAGTGTGCAGGGAGGTAAGGAAGAGGGGGCGGCCGCCACCAGGCTTCCACCGCTTCCCCTGGTCCGCGGCAGATCCCTCCCGCTTGTCAGGAGGCGGACGGCGGGTGAGCGCACTGGCAGAAATGTGAGAGAGGAGAAGGGAAAGGCGTAGGGCTAAGAGGGGAAACTGAGGGGAGGCGGGTCCTACAACCAAAACGGGGATCTTCTCCCCCTCCGCAAAGCGAACCCAAAATGGCGGCGGCGGCGGCAGAGCGGCGGCGGCGGCGGCAGCAGCTCCTCGGGAGGGAGGGAGAGAAGGGCGCCTCGTGCCCCCCCCACCTCCCACTCCTCCCTCCTCGCGTTCTCCCCCACTGCCCCCCTCCCCCCGCTGCTCACCCGACTTGGGCCAGGGAGCGCGCACGCCCGCTCGCACGCGCCCGAGTGTAGCTCGCTCGCCGCTCCCACCACCCACCACCTTCGCGCGCCCGCCAGCCCGTACGCGCTCGCTCCGGAGCGCCTTCTCGCGTGGTCCTCCGACCTCCTCCTCGGCCCCTGTCAAGGCGCCTCCGGCGCGGCCCCTCACGCGTACCTTCAGCGGCGCGAGCCCAGGCCTCCTCCTCTTCTTTCCTCCCCCCCTCCCCGCCCCCACTGCCACCAACCGCCGCCACGGCCGCCGCCTCCTCCTCCGCCCCCCCACCCTCCACCCCTCGCGCGTGCGCCTCCCACAATCCCCCCCGCGGGACTGTTCCATTCCTGTTGGCTGCAGGGGAGGGGACAAAAGGACAGGCGAGAACGGACAGGGCTTGCGGTTATGGCTGAAAATACCGAGTTGTAGGCAAAGAACTATATTTACCTGGCTTTCCAGGCTCGTTACCGCGGCGCCCTGGTTCACTTTCCTCCCCCTTCTCACGGCCTTGGTGACCGAGTGGGGGGCGGCCTCGCGCCCCTCCGCCGGCAGGTGGTTGGAGGCCGCGGCGGCTGCGCGTTAAGTAGCTTCCTGCGGTCTGATCTGAGCGTTTTTCGCTGTTGCGGAACGGTGCCCTGGAAGCTACAGCTGCAAGGATCTGCAGATCAGCGCGTCAGGATCGGTCCCCGACTCACGGTGAGGGAATGAACTGGCTTGGGCTCAGGAAAGTAGGGAGATTGGGATCTTGAATGAGGTAAGAAGAGAGGTCTCTGTAGGGCCGGCGCCTCTCTTCTAAGTCTGGGGGGGGGGGGGGGAGTTGTTCCTGCGTTCTGGTTTGCTGACCTGGGACCCAGGCAGAACCGGGATGGTGGTCTGCGCTTGGCCGGCCATTGCTGCTCTTCTTTTTTCCCTTTCAGCACCTTAGGTATTCCGCGTTTCACACCACTGCCTACTCGCAATAGTGTCTACACTCTTCTTACACCTCATGGACAGATAGTACAACTCCAATCTCATTAGGTAGCCCAGTTAAGCGAGTAAAGAAACCACACATTTCTAACTAACTCACTTTTGGACGTGACCTCTCAAGGTCTTGTGTGACCTTTAATGCGTCGTTTTATTTCGTTTCTGTCAACAAGAAGCCAAAAACTGGGTATTAAAAATAGTGAAGTCTAAATCTGCTTTCATATCTGATGCTTAAAATAAGATAATATGTATAAAGTGGAATCAGTCACAGGCACTGTGAAAGTGCGGAGTATTAGTTTACAGTATTGTTGGTGTTGATAAAGGTTTGTGGTTGTAATTTGTAGTCCGTGTTCTTTTTTTTTTTTAGAACTAGTTTAATCCAATTCCTGTGACTTAAATTCAAAACTGCACTAAGCTAACATTTTTTCATTACTTGATGTGTGAGAACAACATATAAGACCTTTAGATGGCCTTGGTTGCATAGTGTGTGTAATATTTCAGGTAGCTTGAATCTACCAGGTGCTCTGCCTGTGAAAGATCGATAGTCTATATATAGTTGTAAAGATTTAAAGCCTATGAAACCTAATAAAAGTTGCTATAGTCAGAATATAGATGGCATCTCCAGCAATGGGTAGGTTTTTCCAGAGCCTTTGTGATGCATTTGACTTAAGTGTGTGGCTGCTAATGGAAAGGTTAGTGGTTCAAACTCACCAGCTCCATGAGACGAAGATGTGGAATCTTATACCTTGGACACCCTGTGGAGCAATTCTGACTGTCCTGTAGGGTAGCACTGAGTCAGAACATAATAAATGGTAATTTGAGTTTGGTTTATTAAAACTTGCAGATAACCTCAAAATTAATCTAACAGCTTGTTCCAACAAAGGTGTGCAGCAGAGCTGCGTGTTTCCTCCAGACCAGTTCAGTCTCTCTGCCAAGCAAATCGTTTGAGATTTGTGGCATCTGAAGTAGAGGAAGACTCAGCAACAAACTAGTTATACAAATGACACAGCCTTGCTTGCTGAAGGGACGACTTGAAACACTTGTTGTAAAAGAGCAAGGACTACAGCCTTCAGTTTGAATTAAGTCTCAACATTGAGAAATAAATCCTCACCACTAGACCAATAGGCAAAATCGTGATAGATTGAGAAAAGAGAAATTGTCAGTTCTTTCCTCTTACTTCAATCCCCAGGCAACACCTTTGGTACCAGCAGTCAGGAAATCAAAAGACTTATTGCACTGGGAAAGTCTGCTATCAGGGACCCCTCCAAAGTGCTGAAGAGCAAAGATGTCAGTTTAAAGACTGAGATGTACCTAAGCTGATCCCTGATCTTTTTTTCAATTACTTGCTATGGATCTGAAAGTTGGACAGTGAATAAGGATGTAAAGTAAAGAAGAATTGATGCCTTTGAGCTGGAGAGTACTAAATATCCCATGAACTGCCAAGAGAACAAACATGTTTTGGAGAAGTTCATGCCAGAGTGCACCTTAGAGACAAGGATAGTGAAACTTCATTATCACATACTAATTAGAAGCAAATGATATGGTAGAGTTTCTTGTATATGCCCCAGGACATATTAAGAGCTAAAATAAGTACTCAGTAAAATTACTTCCTTGATTGAACTCTGAATTATTTGAGGCAAGGAAGATAGGCAAGGTGGAATAATGACCCCTAAAGGTGTCTATGTTCTAATCCCCTTTGCTGTGTTGCAATGGACCCATTGCTGACCCTTCAGCAGGTTTTCAGAGCCTGTAAACTGCATGGAAGATTACCTATCTTTCTCCCAGAGAACAGCTAGTGAATTCAAGCTGTGTGCCTTTGGATTGGCAGTGCAACTCCTTACCACTAGGCCACCAGAGCTCCCACTGTAATTTATTAATCCTAGTAGTCTGTATTTTGTATGAAGAGAAAAAAAGTTACGGTTGCACATGGAATTAAGGTTGCTAATTAGCTAACCTTAAAATAGATTATGTGGATAAGACCCTGTGTCATCACAAGGGTCCTCAAAATGTGAGAGAGGGAAATTGAAGTAAGGAAAAATGTGGACCAAACTTTGCTGGCTTCAAAAATTAAAGAGGCCCTGAATGAAGGAATGTGAGCACCCTCTTAGAGCTGGAAAAGACAAGAAAATGAGTTTTCAGTTAGTTGCCAAAAAAAATGCAGCCTATCCACACTTTGATTTTAACCCAGTAAACCCATTTTAATTAGTGAACTATATGACAAAGATTCTCACCACTGGACCAATTGGCAGCATCAGGATGGATGGTGAAGAGATTGAGATTGTACACAGCTTTAGTTGGCTTGGCTCCACAGTCAACAGTCTTGGCACCAGCAGCCAGGAAATTAAAAGGCGCATTGCCATGGGAAAGTCTGCTGTTAGGGACCTCTCCAAAGTACTG